TATATATATATATCTGTGACACCAGAGATTGACCAGGGAGCTCTTGCATTGCACTACATCCACAGGACATTTGAAATTTTTTATTTTGATAAAGGGTCTCGGAAAGTCACTAAGTTGCCTAGGCTAGGTTTGAATTTGTGATCGTCTTGCTTCAGCCTCCCGGAGTTATGGGGTTAGAGGTGTGTGCCACCACACCTGGCTTTACTGTTTTTTCATATATTTTTATACCCATTAACATCTGTTCTTGCTTCCACATCCTTGTGAGTGGGCATGATTGATAGCTGTTATTATGTGATAAGATAACTGACACCCAATGTGGTGAAGAAAATGACTTGCTCAAAAGCCAAAAGATTAGTTCGCTGCCGACCTGAGAAGAGCAGGCAGGCCCTCTGGCTTCCAAGGAAACTTTCCCAGCCACCCAAGGTCTGGACAGGTCTTGCACTTATGATGAGGCTTGGGCATCTGTCAGACGTGGCAGCCATATTGGTTCCACACAGGTTCATGGAAGGAGGGTGGAAGCTGCTCTTAAGTCCAGAGCTTCCTCCGGCTCTAGTCAGGGGTAGTTAGTGGGAGGGACATACTGACATCACACACCACACACCCTTCTTGAGCTGTTCAACCTCTCCGCTGCAGGTCCAGGGATGAGTAAGCCTCTTCGGAGGTCCTCTCAGTATTGTTTTTCTCCATGGTGTCCATCTCTACCACAGGTACTAATCATCTGACCTTTAGTTCCTCTCCTTGGGCTTCACTTCCTGTTCTGAAAAACAGCGGTAATGGACTATATCATCACAGGGATTCTTTTGGCTTTCACAACCGGTGATTTATATGTCGGGGACAAAGGCTGAAGGAAGATGTTGAAAGGATTTCCCTAATATTCCCACTACTACGAATGTGCACACGTTAGCTACTAATTACAGAGTACATGAAACATGCAGGGTCTAGCTCAAGTGACTGACAGTTACTTAAACATATCATCAAGGGATCTCAGGTCCAAAATTAAATGAATTATACTCTCCAGTTGCTGATAAGAATCATCGTGACCAAAGTGATGCTGTTCATCTTGTTTTACGGTCCTCCTGCTTCTCTTTCATCTCTGCTTCTCTTCCATCTCTGCTTCTGCTCAAGTCCCACTCTAGGTTATGCAAGATAAGCATCCTCCTGTGTTCTTTTCATAAACGCTTAGAAACATGCACTTTAGAAATGTATATTAAGCATATGCTATTTTGATAAACTTCTATTTTCTTTTTTAACATCCACTCTTTCTGTGATTTGTCTCTGTAACGTTCTGTGATTTGTCTCTCTAATGTAGATCTAGTTTGTTATTTGTGATTTGATTACAGTCTTTTTCTTGCTATGGCACATTTTACTTGTCCATTCTGCTGACGATCTTGAGTACTTTGCACATATTATCTTATTTCATCCTAGAAATTTCCCTTTGAAAATTTATTATCTATTTTTACCAAAGAGGAATTTAAATGACTGAGAGATTAATTTTTATAAGATTACCAGCGGAGGGGGAAGAGTTGGCTGATGGTACATTCTGTGCTCTTTGCTATGAATTTGTTTTGTTTCCTTATATTTTACTGCATCCTTATGATTTATGGAGTAAAAAAAAAAATCTTCCAGCAGTGAATCAGGTCCTTTCAACTTTCAAACCAAAAGTTGGCCAATTTCAACACTTTTCTCACTTCTAATGCTGAAATTGTCAAAACCCATTTCCTGTCTGTTTCATGGGTAGTTTCTGGGGTTCAGAGCATCTGACCAGAGATTAGGTGGCAGACTGTTAGGGTGCAGGTGCAGCCACACTGGGTTTGAGCCATGCACATAAGCCCATCTCACTTTAGCTCTGACCCTGGCTGCTGTCTTGCAAGATGGGACAGATACACCCATTTCATGGATGAGCACAGTGATGCACAGAGAGGTTAAGGATGTTGTCCAACTTGCTGCACACCTAGCAAGGAACAGAATCAACATTTGAGCCCCAAAGTCTCTACTTCCCTCCACCACATCATGTTACCCTTGTGGGAGAAGGGAATTATTGTGGGGTCTTGGTTCATGAACTTAATTTGTTCCACAATTCTGGAGAAGGTGGTTATGTTAGTGTTGGTGTGGGGAAGATGGCCTGGTTGTGTTCACTGCCAGATGTGGAGTTTGCAGAGGGAATCAAACTTTTGCTGAACACTTCTGTTCACAAACTGAATTGTTCATGAACAGAAGCACTCATAATATCATACTCATACTCATAATATCATACTGTCATACTCATACAGTATTACTGTACTCTTTCTGCAAATCCAAGCCTAAACTTTTAAAGTCAAAGCAGCTCTCTGAAACCATTGGGTTACACTCAACTTCTGTGGGGGAAGAGGATTAAGATGGATTTTGTGTGTTTTTGT